ACTCTGTCTCTGTCTCTCAAAAATGAATAAACGTTAAAAATTTTCTTTTAAAAAAGAAAATACCTGGGGCGCCTGGGTGGCTCGGTCATTTAGGCGTCCAACTTCGGCTCAGGTCATGATCTCACGGTCCGTGAGTTCGAGCCCCGCGTCAGGCTCTGTGCTGACCGCTCAGAGCCTGGAGCCTGTTTCAGATTCTGTGTCTCCTTCTCTCTCTGCCCCTCCCCTGCTCGCACTCTGTCTCTGTCTCTCAAAAGTGAATAAACGTTAAAAAAAATTTTTTTTAAAAGAAAATCCCTAATGTTTAGCGGACACTGCTCGTAACTAAAGCTGCATTTTCAAATGATGGTGATACAGACGGTACTGAAAAGGAGACACAAATAAAAATTAACTTGGGAGGTGAGCAATTCTCACACCATGCATCCTTCGAAGCCCTCATCCACCTCCAGAAGTGGCCACCGTATCGGCCAGCTCCTTGAGTCCTGCCCGGAAGCATTTCTCTGTGCCGCGTCCCTGAGTCACCATTTCCAAGCGTGCGCTTTCACCTTCTCTCTCAGATGCATCTCGTCTCCCAAGCCGAATAAATCCATGAAGGGTCCAGGTTTTCTGTTTCTTGGCAGCCAGACTACAATTTATTCTGCTTTTTTGCATATGTTCCGTGTTCACTGAATTAAATACTCAGCTATGAATACAGAGGCTGATATCATCTTAATTTTAAAAGCCTTCCTTTTGTAGAAAAACCATCAGCAAGAATAGACTTTTGAAGGTAATGAGGGTGATTAAGTTGCCAACCTTAACCACAGTCACCATCAAAAACTACTCTGTCTCCCTCGTTTTTTTCAGCTAGATGAGGGTATAGTCTAAAATGGATTTCATTAAAATCTTTACACATGAACAAAGCCCACCCAGACAACAAATAACTGCTCTTTTCTTCCCGTTTGACAAGGTGATACAATATCTCTTTAAAGAGCAAAATTGCCGACGATTCGCAGACACAAAGAAGGAAAATCAAGGTAAAAATGGAAGCCCGGTTTTCTATAGCTAGAGCTCTCTCCCTGACAACGCCGTGGCTCATTTCAAATAATCACACCCTCTGGCCATCAATTTCAGACTCTCCGCTAGTTAGTATTTTCCATTCTGCCTTCAGGGAAACCACATGGGTTCAAATCAGATGCAATTTGTCCACACGTTATACACAGCTTCTATAATAACGCTTTGTATCTTCATAGCGATTTGCTATTTCGAAGCACTTCTCCCTGTATCAACTCAATGGCTATTCATCACCAGTCCTAATGGTAGGTGGGGAAGCGAGGAGGGCTCCCTCCCTTTAACGGATTAGGAAGCTGGGAGCGGAGGGGATCGGCATCACCTACACACAGAAGCCAGTGCAGCTTCAGGACTTGGGACATCGGAGGAAACAATGCGCCTCATCGAGTCGCACCATATGAGGAGAAGTTCAGGCTTTCTCACTGAAAAAGGACACTGCATGAAAACAAAAAAAATCTCAAATATGGCAGATTCACTTATTAATAACGGGGCAAAAACATCCCCCAAAGAAGTCCCACAAAGGAATCCAGTTTCTCACCCTTCTTGCCCACCCTCAACCTCTTGAAATAACCACCTTGCCATCCCTGAAGTTAAAACTACCTCCCGGCATGGTCGCTCCGACGAGAGTACCCGGCTTCTAACTCACTTTCACTGTTTTCCTCTCGCCCGGCAACCCACCACCTCAGGCCTTGTTTCCTGCACAGGCTCAGAACCGCCTTTCCGTGGGGTGTTGCAGAGCTACAGAAAAGCCTGTACAGGAAAGTACAGGGGAAGGTATTTCAAGAAAGGGGTAGAAGTTTCCAGATGTGGCAAACCAGCTTGAACAAGGGGAAAGCCTAGCATAAAAGGCTGGCGATGCTAAGTGTTGACCAGGATGCGAGTCAAAGGGAATTCTCAAACACTGCTGGTGGGGGGTGGGGGTGGCTGTGAGTTGTTTCAACCACTTCAAAAAACTTTCTGGAATATTTGCTGAGGTGGAACACATGTGAACCCCCACGCCCCTGCAGCTCCGCTCCTGGGCATCTCTGCACCAGAACCGCAGATATACAGGCACCAGAGTTACGTAAAAAATGTCCACAGCAAGGGGCATCTGGGTGGCTCTGTCGGTTAGGCGGTCGGCTCTTGATCTCGGCTCAGGCCACGATCTCGTAGTTCGTGGGTGCGAGCCCTGTGTTGAGCTCTGCACGGACAGTGTGCAGAGCCTGCTTGGGATCCCCACTCCCCCTCTGGCTCTCTCTGCCCCTCCCCCATGCACACACACTCTCTCCCTCTCTCAAAAAAAAAAAAAAAAAAAAAAAACAGTAATAAAATAAAACAAAAACGTTAAAACGTGTTCATAGCAGCAAGGGGAGTATCATACGCGGCATGAAGGCCGTCGGACGCAAAGAGCAGCAATGCACACCTGCGTGGACAAGCAGTTCAAAAACAGAAGGAACAAGTCCACGGTGATGGAGGTCAGGGCAGCAGTTACCACGGGGGGGGGCGGGGGCGGTGGGAGAACGGACGGTGACCGGGTGGGAGAAGGAGGTGGCTTTATGGGGGATGGTGAGGCCCTAAGTCCGGACACAGGTGCGGGCTCTACTTGGGTGTGTTCCCTACTTGAAATTCCTTGAGATTTACAGTTATGATTCCTGCTTTTTCCTGAACTCTTGTCATACTTTCAATGCCGTTCTTATCTTTCCAAAAATAAGCAAAATTGCACAAAGGGCAACAAACATTCACGTGATGCAAAGCAATAATGTAAACGCAGCTCACGACCTTTTGTGCTTTTTATCGACCGTGCGTCTCTTTCCCTAGCCCTCTCCTGAATTTGCTCAATAACCTTCCATCCCTCCGTACTCTACAGTTTGTCTTAATTTGCATGTATTCTACTGAATGCCTGTCTGCAACTCGATTTTTCCAGATTACGGTTTTGTAATTTCTGCACAGGGATACACTGCACTGGTTTATGTGGCCGAATGGGGCCCCATTTTACAAATACGCTGGCATTTATGCACCCTTTCTTCTACTGATGGGCTTTGGTTTTTCACATTTTTCAGTATCTGAACACAGCTCAAGGCATCTCGGTTTCTTCAGGCGGTGAAGCGGTCTCCACTCTGCTGTGTCTCCACAAACTGCTCTCCTAGCCCTCCACCCCCACCAGCACCCTGGAGGGCGTCAATCCGTGCACTTGATCGCCAGCTCTGAGCTCTGGGCATTAGGGCATTTTAACTGGTTCTCAGCAACCTGATGAGAGCAAGCTGCGATCTCATTGCGACTGTAATTTCCGTACCACCGAGTCCCGGTGATTTAAAGCCTAGGATAACTTGCTTTCATCCATTTGTGTGGTATGTTGAGCTATTTGTTACGTATGGAATTGGAAACACACAAATCAGTTTACATCACTTCATTATCTGAAACCTTCCAATGGCTCCCCTCGGCGCTCAGAATAAAACCCACACTCTCTCGGCCTACGGGCCCTTCTCCTCTATCCTCTGCCTCTCTCTCTCTCTGCTCATTCACCTAGAAAGCAGCCCCTGGTCCACTATGTGCTCATTACACTGGCCTGTTTCTAGTCCTGGATTATGTCAACTTCTTTCTGTCTGTAGGCTTTGCTCTTACTGACTCTGCTGTCCATAACGCTGTTACTCCACAGTTTGCATTTCCACCTCTTCTGGGGCGTTCAGAGCTCAGATCAATGTTACCCCCTTATACAGGCCTTCCTCAGCCATACCCACTTCGCTTTACTCTCTTAGGAGTATTTATCACTCTCTGATAGTATCACAGTTCTTTATGCACTTGACCATCAACTTCTCCTGCAACAGTATGTCTGCTCCACACAAGCAGGGCATCGTCTAGCTCACGGACCGCCGAATCCCCTAAATTGAGAGCAATCTTTGGCACATAGGAGATGCCCAATCAGTGTTTTACAAATAAGCTGGTGAACAAATGAACCACTGAAAGCATCAATTTCTAAAAGCACAGCCTTTGGCCAATATCCTCATACACCATTTCTAGCTTAGTCACTTGGCAGGTCACTTAACCTTTTTTTTTTTTTAATGTTTATCTTTGAGAGAAAAAGAGAGAGAGAGAGAGAGAGAGAGAGAGAGACAGAGCATGAGCGGGGGAGGGGCAGAGAGGGGGGAGACACAAAATCCGAAGCAGGCTCCAGGCTCTGAGCCGTCAGCACAGAGCCCAACGCGGGGCTCGAGCTCACAAGCCGTGAGATCACAGCCTGAGCCGAAGTTGGACGCTCAACCCCTGAGCTCCCTAGGCGCCCCGACCTTTCGAAGACCTATGTTTCTCATCAGTAAATTGGGGATAACATGTAGTATCCACTAACCACGCATAATTGTTCCAGATATCGAACAATGGTATGCATGCTCTTAGCGAAATGCCAGCCTGTGATATAGGTGATTAATAAAGTATAGGCATTCTTCCTATTCTTATCATCACGCGGTTTGACTTAACATACACAGTTCAATACATGCATGTGTAGGTACACACACACACTTACATGTTGGGGAACAAAATGCCAAACTCATAGGACCTTCATACCTACCTGTCTATAATCACAGGAGATTTTGTAGATTCTTTGGCTATTTCAGAAGCCACAATATAATTGCCCAAAGAATAAAAAGCTCTCCTAATGATAGTTGGCTCATCATCAAAGATTTTCCTCCACTGGCTGATGCAAGCAGGTGGCGACTTTAAGAGGACAGCCCCGAGTGTGTCTGAAACTGACTGGGTCACAGTGGTTTTACCTGCGGGCCAGATACAAACACAGGGCTTCGTTACCATGGCCACGGTATCACTCCCAAACTGCTCAGATGAACTCAGACAGAGCAAAGACACTCTTTCTACCCGTAAACCAGCGTAGCTCATTACCTACTAAGATTATTTAAAAAAAAAAAAAAAAAGATGCAGACCTTCAGGAACCTGGGTTTGCTCAGTGTGGTATCAGAACACTTGAAAGATATCACACACTAATGATAAACTCTGGCAGAGACCTCCGGGCCCTGGGATAACCTCCACCTTGCTCCTTCACACTCTCTGCACCCGGGGAGCCCCGCCTCACGCTGAACCACGTGACTTCAGCCCAGGCTCCACCTTGTCCTTGGCTGTTCTCCCGCTGCCCTTACAGCCTTACTTCTCCTACTTTTGTGTTTTGGGCCAAGTGTGGGTATGTCTGTTGTACTCTGAGATCTCTGCCAGCTCCAACGCTTCTGCCCCCCACTTCCTAGTACTTCCAAAGGGTCCTCGGAATGGCCTGTGCTTCCCAAATGCCCCCAGGCTGGCTCAAGTCCCTTCTCTTCGGCCCATGCTGTTTCTTCCGCCCGGAGGACCGCTTCTGTCTTCCTCACCTGACCTGCTCTGATCTGTACTGAAAACAGCCCTGCGGGAGCCACCCCAACCACGCTCCGTCCCCCACGCGGAGGCTGCCTTAAGTGCCTTCTCGTGGTCGCCAGAGCACCTGAGGCTCAGCCCCTCCACCCCTCCCCTGGCTTCCCACTCAAGGCCTTATTCACCTTTGCATCGCACGCCTGCCCAGCTCCGTGCGTGGCACACAGTAGACACTGCCGTGAAGCTTACGAGCTGAACTCTGTATAAAGTTGTACTTGTGAAGCCCTGTCTATTCCCACGAGAGATCAATGTCTCTCCTTGCCTGTAACCAAAAGGTAATATTACCTGTGGCATCCAGTCCTTCAACAGCAATGACCGGGAACTTCCCTTTGTGGACTTGTTCCGGCAACTGGTCAACCAGGTCGAGCACTGCTTGGGCCTCAGGAATGAAGGGTATACACTGTAAAACAACGCATGTGCAGCCTTAGTGAGGCAACGGGGCTTTTGCAATATCTGATTGCTGAGAACAAGATTGCCCAATGCTAATAAGACATAATAAGTTGTGTTTCACACCACACCAAAATCATGCTGTTTTGAACCTGAGAGGGGCTGGGGCGCCTGGGTGGCTCGGTCAGTTAAGTGTCTGACTTCGGCTCAGGTATTGATCTTACCACTCCTGGAATATGGGTTCAAGCCCCGCGTCGGGCTCTGTGCTGACAGCTCAGAGCCTGGAGCCTGCTTTGGATTCTGTGCCTCCCTCTCTCTGCCCTGCCCCGGATCGTGCTCTGTCTCTCTCTGTCTCTGTCAAAAATAAACATGTAAAAAGAAAAGCAATTTTGAACCTGAGAGGGGCTGAGTCCCTCCATTTTATACTGAATAGCTCTGGCTCAAAAAGGCGACAGCGGCTGAGATCCCTCAGCCTTACGGGCCAGCTACCCCAGAGGAAGGAGAGGGAAGGCCACAACTGGGGGGGGGGGGGG